AAGAAGGCTCTAGGACTTTCCAGGCCCCCTTGTTTTTTAAGGAGGAACGGGTTGCTGTCTTTGTGTTACAACTTAGTGCCCTCACTGTAGCCTGTCTGGGTGTGTCTTGTTTGTCTGCCATGCCGATTTGTCTGTCCTTTGAAGCATGAGGCCAAAAGGATTTCCAGTAATTTGCTGTGCTGTTGAAGTTTGTGTCTCCAGTCTCCACAACACCGGGCAGCCAGGACGGCCTACCTAGCCGCTCTTCCTGCTGCTCCATCTCCTTGACCTCCTGTTTGTTCCCTGTCTGTAGGGCACTTCAGTTCCCCCAGTATTGTCCCCTAAAGACATAAGGGGAGGACAAGGTCAGAGCAGTCCGTTGCAGTCCTTATTAGTGGCTTTGATAAGAGGCTTTGGGGGAAGAAGTTGAAACTAATGGCTGTAATGAAATCTGGGGTTGGGTAAAGATTTCATTTCTGTGTGACAAAGTCTCCCCATTCAATACATATGTGTCCCGTGTACCTTTGCACAGTTCGCATATATAATGGCGACTATTATCGAAGCTCTACTGATGCCTTCAGCAGGAAAGGCTGTGAGACTTGTTCGCAGGGAACGTACAGAGAAGAAAGGTCACAGCTCTAAGCACTGAATTAAGAAGGCTTCAAAAGGAAGTGGTCCAAGCGCATGAAATACTAGAGTAGAAGAGATAAGCTGTGGTTTTCATTTGAATGGATGCATGACTTTGGGCTCTCCGTGCATTTAGTAATTATGTACAAGGTCTTAAAGGATTTCTTTTTAAAAATCATTTGGTGTGTTTTATTTTATAATCACGGGTCGCTTCAGAGTGTTCCTTCTCATTTTCAGATGTTGCAAACTGGAATTTTACACAGTTTCTTATGAAATGATATATTTCTTAAGTTTAAAGATCTTGATAAAACAGTGCAGGTTAAAGAGAACGTTTTCTAGTAGTCTTGAGTATGATTCTTAAGTATATGTTAACTAGTTTCAGATGTGTCTTGCTTGTTCTCTGACTAAAACTCAATCCTTTATTTTAAACAAAGAAATTGTGTAATTAGTAACTAATTGCTTTGGATATTTTGGGTATTTCAAGGAGATAATTCAAAGGACAGAGAAAGTAAATGTTCACAATGTTCTTTACCCACATCTAGTCCCTCTTTACAGTATCACCTAAGAACAGGCCTGGCAATGTAAAAATAAACAGACCTGTGGTGTTTTTGTATAATTGAAATAATAGTATTTAAATGTAGTTTTTAAAATGAACTTCCATTTCTTCTTTGGATGTAGTTTTGTTGACCACCAATGCTCTGAAAATTAAGGTTATTCGGTTCCTCCAGGTAGTATCAGACAGGTGGCCATCTACCAATCACACAAGAGGAAAAGGAGCATCCCTCACTCTTCATAAATATCACACATGATCCAGATTAAATATTGACATAATTAAGAATGCTGTAGAGTTGTGGGGACAAAACAAGACTTGGTTGTCATGGGCTCTCTCTTTGCTCTCTGAGAAGTCCAGGTCATGGTGAACAACTTAACTTTTCTGGGCTTCTTTTAGGATATATAAATTAGAATGTGGGACTGGTCGTCTCTAAGATGTTATTAGTGCAGAAATACTGTTTCATGAGGTTCTGATGATCTATACTTCTTTATTCTGTAGATATGAGGGCTAACAAGTGTGCTTTTAAGTGATAATATTCTTATAGTTATTTTGGTGATTAAACCTTGCACCATGAGATTCCTGAGTTTTGCAGCTGTGAAATGCATAGGTTTATGTATGCGCCTTGACTAGAAGAGTCTTTCTCCCTATCTGCTGTGCTCACTGGGTGAGGCTGAGAGGCAGGGTGGGGCGAGGGTGCTGAAGTGCAAGTTCAGATCGTAGCCCTCACTTTTTCTCCTCTCTTTGCAAATTACCCTTTTTCTCTGAGGATACAACATATATTTCAGACATCCGGTTTCAGCTAGGGAGAGTCAAGAATCCTAAGTAACTAGTTAGCTAAAGTATGTGTAAAGCCTAAAAACCCATATGAAATGCATGGTTCTTGGGGAAAATGTAGATTGCACACCTGTCTGTCGTAGAGGAGAAATCTGCAGAGATCAGTAGCCAGATGAGAAGTAGGAATGTGATCATGGCTACCCAATAGTAGCATAGTCCCCGGTAAGGAATGGGTTTGTGGAGAGACTCTGCCCAACTCTAAGGACCAGATAAGGGAGGCATTACTTAAAACACCAGTGATGAAAGAACAAAGCATGAAGGAAAGGGGTTACTTTTATCCTTCCCAACTGCAATGAGATGAGGCACAGACGTTTGTAATAACAGCAGGAATTTCAAAAGAAACCTCCAACTTTGAACCAACCTCACTGCCTCTGTGCTCTGTTAACGCCCAGGGAGTTAAACTGAGAGAAAGAATCACCTGTGTAGGCAGGTAGGCGTCGTAGAAAACATAAATATTGTCTAAGATGCACTGTTAATTATTTCAGGGTCCTTTCTGGATATCAAATCCCTGTGGGGAATATACTGGTAGTGAGAGGGACAGCAGAGAGAGAGTCCGGTTCTCAGAGTAACAACATCAGTGTGTGCAAGCCTGTTGGCGTCATCACTGCAGAGGAGCCCACACAGAGTGGGTGCAAAGAAGAACTAAAAGTAGAGCAAGGCTCATAGCTTCCGACCTCTGAGTTGTATATGGAGTGTGCCAACCAAATTTTAAGTCTATACCCAGAAGTTTAGATAGTGTTCTAATGTTAGGAACACCTTGGGAATCTAAGGGCCAAGAAAGAAGCATAATATAAAAAGATGGGAAGCTGGGCCAGATAGGCTGGCCTTCACGGTACTAAGTGGAGTGATGATTGACAGAACCTTCCCGGAGGCCCAGCACAGTGAGCTGCCTGTTCACAAGTGCTTCTGGCTACACTCTGAACTTGAGGTTGTTCCCTCCCTCCCTAGGGAAATGTGGATGGGTTTGGGAACCACTACATGGAGAGTAGTGTATGGAGGTGTTATGGCAGTGAGGGTTTAGTAAGTCAGAGAAAGGGCATTGCAGTTGTTTCGAATAACCTCTTATTAGATGTAGAGATGCTGTCCTGGGCTCAGTTACTGTAGGATCAACGTGGTAGATACTGAGAACATGGAAGGAGGAGAGAGGAGGAGGGAGGAAAGGCAGACAGAGCGACTGAGTCTTTATCCCCTGGTACTTTGGAATTCCACAAAAAAGACGGGTGCGTTCCCCCTAGGCTTGGCTTTGGGGTTTGGCATTTGAATTTTTCACGTTACAGAAACCCTACAGTCACTTCAGTGACTTTGGTGCAGGGAGCAGAGTGGGGGTCAGGGATTCAAGAGTTTGACTGCACTCGTGGTTTGCTTGGTGACCTTTGAAGGTTTGTTTTGAGCTGCTGTGAGAAACATAATCATGTTTTTTTTTTTTTTTCTGAAACAAATTTTAACATCTGCAAAGGCTGATGAAGGTAGGATAATTTTAATGAGATATTATCTATCTTTTTAAATGCCAACCAGCTTTTAAAACTATTCCTCACTTCTTTAAAATGTCACTCAAAACACTAGGGTTGATTCCAATAAACACCTTTTCTATTAACGTTTTTCATGGCCAGAGTAAAGTTAAAGGCTAGAGACTTTGCCAGTCCATTTCTGTAGTTCAATTTCCAAATTCTTTTGTTTTAAAATTAACCTAGTTTGATTTGTATTTATTTCAACAGCTTGACATTTTATTTCATTTTATTTTGTGATATTTCCAAGAGAGAAGACTATTCTGAATCCTGGCATCAAGCATTCAAAACTCTGAGTGAAGATACCCACTTCTAACAGCATTCCACTTTGATATCTACTTAATGTGTGTCTTCTCATTAAAGCTTATTTATGTTTAAAATGCTGACCTTTCAGGATGTACACAAGAATGCTCTGAAACAGAGCTTCTCAACATTGGCCATGAAACCACTGTCTTGGGCTGACAAATGGATTGGAAATAAGCTACCCAACCCTGGGAATGGGCCATTAATTTTAATCAAAGTTGATGCAGGAAGGCCAGTGGGATGCATGACAATGTCAACAGCCCAGTAGGTGTGAAGAGACCACTCGGCCTTCCTTGTTACTTGGTTGAGCCATTAGTTGAGGTTGGGTGAAGACAGAAAGCCAGGCCTGGAATTGAATGACCAGGTCACTCCAAAATCTAATGGAGAACTCTCCGTTTCAGAAATCACATTGTAATGCCATTAGAAGTCAAGGACAGCATTTAGAAAATACTGAGAGGTTTCTTTTTGTTTTTTCTTTTTTTTTTTAAATCAAGCACCTTGCTAGTTTTTCAAACTTTATCTGGGTTCCTGTTTCCCTGCTTTCTTCCCTTCCAATGGGGATTATTGATATTTACAGAAGACATTGAAAAGATAGGGGAAATATCTTCAAGCCTGTTTGCTTTTCAGAAGTATATACTCAGACTGTCAAGCTCTCAACTGCCAGAAACAGTTGTATACCTATGGAATTAAGCAAGATAACTAATTGTGGTGATCTCACGTTTTTCTCCTTTTCGTATGTATGGGAATAGTTTTATCAGTTGAAACTATAGAGTTTCTTGATTGTTTTAAGGAAGCATTTATTTCCTGATTACAAAGGCCACTGTACTTCTGCCTTACTGTAAACTGTCAATATTGACGGCTGACACTAGCAGATCCCTTTTCTTTCCTTCGGTAAGTATATTTATTTTGAGAATTTTCAATTACCAAAAGGAAAAAAAAAAAAGTAGCTCCTGACAGCTTGGATTAATGATGTTTATAATAAAGACATAAAAATGCAAAAAGGACAAAGAAGCATTCTTGTATCTCTGATTCAGGTTTGCGAAGAAAATTCATTTATTCTGACACGGCATTGCACACGTAAGAAAGACACGTATGGCTGCATTAGTAATTTTTACACATATTTAAGAAAGAAAAGCAATTATATTGCTGTCTTTTTAATGGAGTGCCGCAATAAATGATAGTGTTTGTTCTTCCTGCAGATGAAGATCAGCTCCGTGCAAAGGGCTATGACAAAACACCAGACTTCATTTTACAGGTGCCAGTTGGTAAGTCCTTGAGCTTGATATGCATCTGTGTATAGAGGGGGTATCGGTGTATATTTTCTCACGTGTTGCTATTAGCAAATGTTTTCAGAGTAGCTTATCTTTATAATACCATATTGAAGTGGGTAAAACTGTTGGAAAAGATTATCTTAAATTATCTCATACGTACTTCAGAAGAAGTCTGTTCTTCAACACTTTTCCATATACTTGAGCAATGAGCATGCCTTCCAAAGGCGCTTTTTGAGATGCCGTTTTCAACTCATTTCTCTAAATTTTGAAATTTTAAAACATAGGTTTGCCAGGCAGCTAGGCACACTTTGGTCTGCTTGACATGTCCCTTGTCAAGCTACAAAGTAGCATTTTGAGCACTAAGAAAGGGAGTTCTGAAGAATGGGGTGAGGATGACAAGGTGAGGTTGTGGCCCCAGTGTGCCTGGCAATGAACTCCCACAAAGTGTTGTTTTATAATTACACCCTCAGTGAATGGCAGAGGCTAAAGCCCTGCTCATTAATGTGAAGCATAGAGAGGCCAGTAGTGCATAGCTGAGGATTTTCAATCTTCCCTTTCCTTCGCCGTGTATTAGTAATGCTTTGTCCCTTAGCTGTGGAAGGGCACATAATTCACTGGATTGAAAGCAAAGCCTCATTTGGTGATGAATGTAGCCACCACGCCTACCTGCATGGCCAGTTCTGGAGCTACTGGAATAGGTAAGGTCCCATTATTTTTCTCTTAAGATAAACGATACTCAGCTGACGTCTCATTAGAAAAAAATATTTTGTTTAGCTGGTAAAAATGCTAGGAGCCTTTTTTTCCCTAGTAAATATAGACTCTGATTAATGTATTCATTTCAGATAATTTAAACTTCTCTGCTTTCATGATGTTGCTTCATTTTTTAAAACTTAAAATCTGTGCTTAAGGTCAAAACTGGTATAGTCTATTTCCTGCTTTACAGTGATTACATTAGTGTCACTTAAAATACGGATAACAAGCTGTGGTGCATAATATGATATAGACACTGGATTTTTATCCTTTTGATGTGGAATTTATGCTTCCTTTTAGACTATAAAAATTAATTTATTCTCAGTCTCTGAAGACAGTATCCAAACCATATGAAAGATGAAAATGATTTAAATTACAACTGTAGCAAACAGTTTACCTATGAAATTCTGTAACCATCTTGAGGAGATGGAAATCTCCACAATTAAAGGGGTGAAGGTAGAAACAGATGTATCAGATACCTGCTGTGTGCCTGGACCTGAAAGTTATTTCAGTTAGTCCTTACAAAGAGATTACATGGTGGGGGAGGGGGGTGGACATATGTGTAGGCATGTCTATAGTACATGGGTGCATGTGAATACATGAGGATATATACATATGTGTAAGTGTGGGTGTGAGGGACCAAAGTTGACACTGAATGGTCTTCCAGAGTAACTCACCACTTTATTTACTGAGGCAGGGTTTCTCACTGAGACTAGAGTTCACTGATTCCAGCTTGTCCTGGGGATCTCATCTCTGTGCCACATCTCCCCCACCCCATGGCTGATATACAGCCAATAATCATGTCTGTCTGGCTCTGACCTAGGTGCTGGGGATCTGAATTCCAGTCCTCACACTTGTGTAGCAATGCTTTTCCACTGAGCCATCTTCCCAGACAGGAAGTTACTTTTATCCCCATTATTATAGATAACTAAACTGAAACTCAAAGAAAGGAAGTAGTGTGCTATTCTGCTAGTTATCACAGGCCTGTGTTTCTCTCTCCTCCATCCATTCCATTTCTAACACAGGTCATTGTCATCTGCAGTGCAACTGTTGAATCTTCGGGTTTTTTATGATTGCACTCTTGTTTTCACACCATGGGTTTTCCTCCATGAAAACAAGAGGTGGGTCACGTGGCAACCTTTCTAGACTAACTGTGCTCCTTTGTCACTGGCCAACAGGAAGAATACAGTACTAAGATGCCACATGCCCAGATTATTAAAGAAGGAGATGGTAGCATCTGCAGGCAACAGTGTGGGGTGTGGGTGGGAGGCTATCGAATTTGGCATTATATTGTTACTCAGCTTTACAAAAGGCCAGCAGATCTCGCCCCTGGCAGCTGTGCTAAGCTACGCCTACTCTTCGCCATGGTAACAGTGATCATGACAAAATGCTGAATGTAATGGCCTTCTTGATTTTCTTGTGTAATTGTGCGTAGCATCCAAGCTTTACTTTACAGGGATGGAGGAGGGAAGTGCAAAATGTTTTAGAAATCAATGCTGCTTCAGCGTTTCCTGTGTTTTATTCAGCCATTATTCAAATTAGCAGTAATGGAGCAAATTGAATTTTAGATTTTTAGCGATTTTCTGATGGGTTTGAAATAGTAAAGAAAGCATCATTTTTGATCGTATAGGGAAAGCAATGACAAGAAAATCAAATCGCCTAAGTTTAGGTTACTAAAGGATTAAAAACAATTGGTCATGTGAATCACTGTGCATTTGGGACTATGTTTCCCCTCTTTGGAACTGGTCACATCTTTTCTGAAGAACAAATAGAAGTTCAGTTTCCAATAAGAAAGCTCAACTTAAAAGGCCAAAATCACATTGTCATTCTAAAACCATGCAGCTATTGAGTACCTACTATTCACCTCACACCATTCCGAGGCACATCAAATAATCTAGTTACCTCCATGGGAAACCTGTGGGCTACTGACATTGGCTGAAGGGAGCATGAGTAGCCAATAATTTAATACAGTTTCTGTCCACTTAGGCTGGGTTTCGTAATACAGTGTTTTTATTTAGCTTTCAGCAGTTCTGAAAGCTGGTCATTTACTCCATCTTTTTTAAAACATTTGATTTTCTTGTCTTCCATGATGTCTTTTCTTTTTGTGTTTCTCCCCTCTATGTGAGAAGCTTCCTTGTTTTCTTGCACTTGTTCTTCTTCTGGCCTCTGGGTAAAAGGGCCCTAGGACTCGGTGCCCACCTTCTTTTATCTACGTCCATTGCATGGGTAGTCCCTCAGATATTTCATTGACTCATGTGGTACATTGGTTTCTGCTAATGTTGACGCCCAGCTCTAACACTGGCTGAGATGACTTCCTGCCTGTGCTGTATGGTATCTACTAGGTGTCTTAGGTTTGACATGCATAAAACTAAACTCTCAATTGTTTTCCTTCGAGCTTGTTACTTTTCTATCCATCCTCAGTTCAGCTAGTGGTGCCGCAGTTTGCACTGAGTTCACAAATCTGAGTTTTACCACAGGTGCATTTCACCGTGTCTCAAAACTGTGTATTTATGGCCGTCTCACCTGCTCTTGCCTTATCACCTGTTAGCATCTGGGCAATTATTCTAGCTTTCAAAACCGATTTCCTCAGGTCCACAGTCTTACAGTCCTGTGGTCAGCTTTTCATATCTCAGACTTGGAAAACATCAATTATATTATGTCATTTTCCTGCTCAAACCATTTCAGTGCCTTGCTGTCACATTTCAAATAAAATTCCAACTCCTCTCTGGTCCTCAGGGCCCTCTGCATGATCTGCCCCACCCCACTCCAGCCCAGTAGTAGATACACATACCTCTTCCCTAAGAGCTGTAGCTAGAGTTTTCCTGCCTTGCCCGTAGTCAGGACAAATCTCTGTCACCCACCAGTCCCATAGCCACTCAGACCCAACCAAGTAAAAACAGAGACTTATATTGTTTACAAACTGTATGGCCGTGGCAGGCTTCTTGCTCGCTGTTCTTATAGCTTAAATTAATCCATTTCCATAAATCTATACCTTGCCACGTGGCCCGTGGCTTACCGGCATCTTCACATGCTGCTTGTCATGGTGGCGGCTGACAGTGACTCCTTCTGCCTTCCTCTTCTTTTATTTCTCCTCTCTGTTAGTCCCGCCTATACTTCCTGCCTAGCCACTGGCCAATCAGTGTTTTATTTATTGACCAATCAGAGCAATTTGACATACAGACCATCCCACAGCAAAGAGCCCTTTTTATTTTTATGATTCCTATCACCCATTTTCTTGATTTTCCTTGAATCTTGTTCCTTGTTTGTACTTCACATCCTACTCTGGTTCCTTCTTTTTACCTGGAAGCTTCTTTGCTTGGTTCTCCACTTAACTTTCTTCATGTGATATTCGGAGCTCAGCTCATATCCCCTCCTTGGAAGGACATCCTTGACCACCCAATCCACTATGTTAACTCCTCAGTCAGTTCTGTCTCCTTACAGGGTTTAACCCTCCATGAATGAGTGAATTAGTGAGTGAATGAATGAATGAATGAATGAGTAGAAAGTAGTGGAAAACTGCTGTGTGAAACTCTTCAAGAGCATACTCCATTCTATACTGTTTTGTTGAAATCTCTTCTCTCTCTCATTGCTTTGATATCAAACTTTAGCAATTTGTCTTAATTCACCTTTAAAAGACTTCAATTCTGCTGTTCTTGGTATCTTCAGCCACGTTGTCATCAGGAGCATCAGTTTTAAAGGTGCACTTTATAGGTAAGCTTTTCAGAGACCGTCTAAGCTGATGGCTGGAAATGATGAGGTTCTGTGTACTTGAACTTGGCTTTCACAGTAGTCATTCTTAAAGCTATGGAAGGAATACTGGGCTTGAGTCTAGGTTATGCTGGTCTCATGCCTGGAAACAGCTTGCTTACCTCCAGAACCCCTTGTTTTCTCCTCAAGAGAATGGAATTACTAATGCCGTTCTCACACTGTGACTGTCAGTTATTTAATACCTGCGAAGCACTTTCATACTTGCTGGCAGTCAACAGATATTAATCCTCCTCTGTCTTTGTCCTGTGTGTCACTGTCTGGTGGAATTTAAAGGTATTCACATCAGACGCTTTGAATCGCCTTCTTTGACAGATAAACGCCTTAGGTAACTTTAGTGCTCAGCTTGGTTGACTTCAGAAGGACACATGCCTGTATTCTGCTGATGGTTCCATAACAGTTATCAAACATTATAATTGGTGTTTGCTTGCCACCCTCTTCGAGTTGATGCTATCTAGTTGTTTTATCTATCTTTAAATGCTCAGAGATTGGCAGAATGCCTGTCACACAGTAGGTGATCAGTGGATAGTTATTCATTGCATGACTGTGTGATGGATATACTCATATTTAATAGGCAACAATAATTTAAATCAACTGTTAAGGATTATGTGAGACATAGTGACATTAAACCATAATTGATGCATTTTTTTTCTTGAAAATGCCATCCTCAGGACAGTGGAAAATGTCTCAATATTCTAAAACATTTTTATATACTTTATAGATGAACAAGCTTTTACAGCCCTATTTTAGAGAAGTATCATAACTATTTTATATGATTTTAAAGTAGGCAATGAAAGGTAACCACGTGGCAAATGCATTTTGTAAAGTTTATCAGATAAATATTTATAGTTGTTTGTTTTGTTTTGTTGAAAGATCTTACTCTGTAGCCCAGGCTGGTCTTGAGCTCATGGTAATCCCCCTGTCTAAGCCCCTTGAGTGTGGGATTGCAGTTGTAGTTCTTCTCACCCAGCTTTAAATTGATGACTTCTTTTCCCAAAATTTTTGACTTCTCTGGATTGAAATTTGACATGGAATGCCTTAAAAACCTAGTAGAGAACAATCAGTAGTTTCCTTGGAGATGAAAAAAAAGAGAGAAAGAGAGAGATCTAGGGCAGGAGATGAATGGAAGCCTCCTTCCTGCATGTCTGCATTTCAATTATCCATAAAGTCAACAGACCTGAAA